AGAAAATATTTCCAAAGATATCCAAACATTCCTTTTGAATATCTGATCCTTGCATCATTTTTTAATGTTCCTAAAACCAGTCTCAGAACCAGAACTAGTTTTCTATACTTCTACTGCTTGTCCCTTACGAACTCTATTTCTTCAGCTAATGTATTTGAGGAAGGTTGATTAAACTGGCAAAAGCTGGAAACTACTCAACAAAAGATGCAAACATTGAGGTGCAATGTATAAAAAAAAAAAATCTATTTAGAATTATGAATTGCACCCATGTGTCTGCTGTATCTAAATAGGGCTATTATTCCCAGTTGCCACCTTGGAAACATTTAGCAAAAATACACTAATTTACATTCAGTGTTCAAGCTGAGGGTTGGTTGTGGGTATTTTGCATTTGTTTGGTTTTTGCTTAAACTCAGAAACTAGAATGGTAACATGCAGCATTTCCAAGCCGGTTTTCCCCATGCACTTCATGCAGAGTGACCGTAACAGCCTGCAGGTGACCTCCCATCCCATGCAGCCTGGCAGCCCGTAAGAATGGACAGTACTTTTTGTATTACATACAAACCTCCAACATTAAATTGCTATGTCTGACATAAATATTTTCCCCGTCTACTCTCAAGGAACTGATCTGTGAAATTGAGCCACATAAACAAAAAGGAAACAAAAACAAAACAAAACATAAAGAACATAAAATGGACCAGCAGCAAGTAAATAAAAAAGGACCCTTACAATCAGACAGTTAAATAAAGGAAATAAAATGGTGAGGTGAAAAGGCACTATTCAGACAAAACCCACAATAAATTTAGGGTGCTAACAAGGCAGGCAGCCACAGCCGGGTTCAATTGTAAAAGAACAACCAAGCACCTTCTGCTGTGCTTCCTCCTCTTCGCATTCCACCTGTGTGAGCGCATGACAAATTATCAAGAAAGGGAAGTGTTAACATTGGCTTACAGACTAACACAGAGGCTTCATCTCTTTGTAAATGCTGCAAAGCGTGCTGGATTTTACAGACCTTTACTTTTTCGGCCCCAGATGCTGAAATTAAGCGACTTGGGTCTTCTTGCACCTACATTGTTGTAGAATGGCTGAAGTAATTTTTGGCATAAGTGGCATGAAAAATGGAAGTTTCACACTGTGTCCCTTTCTTGCTGTACTTTTTATTGTTTCCCAGGTGAAAATTTAAGAATGAGTAACAAACAAAAATGATATGCATAAATTTTATGGTAGGTGACTCAAATTCTCCAACAAATTGATGGGAAAATGGAATCTAACCCAGGAGTTCTTTTGGGGAAAAAGTTTAGGGTTCAAGTCAAACACTTAAACACTGTATTTACAAACTGTCTTAAATTTTAGGAACATTGTTGTCTTGGGATGAATTATTTGCACACACACACATATACCCCTTGTTAAGTGAATATATTTATTCTTAAACTGCAATTCATTGTGTTGGTAATTTTCTGCAGATAATCTTCATGTCTCATCTCCAAATATTCTGAATGCCTTAAGGAACATTCTTTAAAAAGTGAACCACTTCCCAGTTATCTTTCTACAAGTACAAATATCAACTGGTAATCTTAGGAAAAGATGCATTTACAAGTCAACACTGCAAATCCATAAATTTGAAGATGGATTTACTGCTCATACTGTTGCATTTTGGATTCTGTGTGAATGATGGGGTACATATAACATTTTCATTATTTTCTGACTTATCTGGGGTTGCATTTTCTGTAACTACAGTAAAAATTATTGATTGGATTAGACTACGTAAAAATGGAGAAAATCTTAAAACCATACGTTTTTCATTATTTTATACTTAGACTGGTATTATAATTGCATCATGTCATATTTAGCAAGTCTTTAATATGTACATTGGTTTAGAAGACTTTGCTAAATGAAACATTAAACAGATCCTCCTCCGTTTTGATTCCACAATAATCGGTTTAATATTTTCTTTGAGGATCAAAATAGAAGACCTTTTTCTAGTGGTATTGCTGTAACATGTGCAGCAGACATAAGGAAAGGAGGCAGTTTGTCAGCCACTCCAGATGATCAGAGCAACATGCTGGTGTGACTGAGGCTTCTGTACATTTTAGCAGTGTATTCCAAAGAATGCTCAGATTTCAGTGATACAGTCTGACATAACCTGCAATCCCAGCTAATGAATGAAATCGTCTCAACTGCCGCTAGAGATTAATCAAAGCATGTAAAAAAGAAAAAGTGCCTTGGACAGAACTCAGCTTTGCACACATCCTTGTAGAGCTGAAACATCTGAAATCAAAACACTGATTTTAAAGTATCTGTGATTTTCTGAATTCAGCTTTTAGGAACTTCATTTTTCAGATCTAAACAGAACTTCAGAGATGTGCATTCCAGTCAATGCATGCAGGAGACAGGCATTTTAAAACCAATAGACAGTGCAAATAGAACTTGCAAATAGTATCAAAGAACATCTCTACTGTAACACAGAGCACTTTCAGTATTCAGTTTTATGTGCTCTTTAACATTTTGAACTACAATGCAAGTCCACCTGCAGCTCAGTATCCATGGAATTCCATGAGATTATGCATGCTGTAGGAAATTAGGCAGAAAAACCATAAGCTATCTATTGACTAAAAACCCCACAATGGCAATTTTTCACAAATGAGAAATGCTAAAAAGATACAGATATACACACGTGCATTTGTGTATTATATATGTATTTACAGGCATGTACATAGACACACCTCTAAACTAGGAAATGTGCAAAACTGAGCAAGCCTCTTGAGAACAAGCATAAATGCAATGTGCAAGTGTCAACATTTAAGCAGCAAAATTACACACCTCCTCTTCCTCTGCTTTGTCATTCAGGTCATTGCCATTAGAGCTAAAGGAAGTCACCTTAGGCTCCAGGTAGCAGAGGGACAGAGCGAGAGGAAGGGAAAATGTGAGTGAAAAAGGAATAGACTGGAAAGCAGACAGAAGCAGGACAAAGACAAGGAGAAAAGAGGGGATGAAAGAAGGAGAGGTAATAGGAATATAGTGCTGAAGGCCAGGTGGGAGGAAAGAAATGCAAACATCAGGAAGGCTAGGTAAAGTAATATAGCCATCCTCATCAAGCAGCGAACGGAAACTAAAAGAAAGGCATCTGAAGAAGCTGAATGAGACGCACAACTCAGTGCTTTTGTAGTCATTTGCATGGATTCTTCCCTCAACAGGGGGGGAGCCTCGACTAGCTAGGGGTCTCATAGAGGTATCAAACGTATTAATTGGTGAAGCTGTTCTGGTTTTATCATGATCTGATGTTTGTTCCATGGAATTGCACTCTGAAATGTCTGGAATGGTAAGGAGGGGCTCTTCAAAGGGATCTTCCTCTGAAATATCTGAAAGCATGTCGATCTCGGGGACAAGTGACAAGTTTGTGAGATGGGATGACACAGAATGGATGGGCAGTGATGACGGGTGTATGTGAGTGAGCTGAAGTAAGAAATTCTGTGCACAGTGGAAAATGAAAGCACAACAAAAATGCAAGTTTGAAGGCACATGAAGAGGGGAAAAAAGAGAAATTATTAGTTAGTGAAAACTTTTACTTAGAAGAAGGGATAGCTTTACTAACGCAATAGAAATAAAAAATAAAAATCCTGCTGTGTTTTACAAGCAGCCAACTTGTTTACTTCTGTGGATTATGAAAGGAACCCATTACAAATGTTCTGTTCTCAGGCTGTAAAGAACTGTGCACTTTTGAACTGTAATAGTCGCCTAAAACAGATGGAAGCAGACAGACATTGAGAGCTTCGGCAAAAAGGTCAGAGGACAGTGCAGTATACGAAAGACAAGCTGGCACTTCTTGGGTTTATAACTGTTTTCTCTAAGACTTAAAGAGAACTAGAAAGGAAAAGAAGCATTTGCACTAGGGGAAAGAGGAAAAGCTGTTCACAGAATGAGCATGTGTAACAAAACTGTACTGAACAGCTTCCTGGAACAACCTCCCAAAATACTGCCTTCCCCTCCACCACTGTTTTGGTTACAATATTTAAAGTTACACGACTTTGAAAACAAGGGAGAATCACTATTTTATCAAGCCCAAAGGCAAAACATCGTAATTTATTTTACCCTTTTTCTCCCATAAAGAAACAGTGTGTGCATTTTTTCTCATCTATTTCAAAATTATTTCAACTTGCCAGCAAACAAAAAAAAAAATGCAGCTGTGGTATTTGTTCTCTTCCTACACTTGAATGCAGTGGGAACATATGAACTGCACAGAGAAACTCAGCAGCCTCACCAAGAATAAAATGGGTAGCTAACTTGTTTGGGGACAAAATTACTCTTTAAATATTAAACTAAGTTCTAGAGAATTGCTGAAATAGAAATGATCTCCAAGAGAGAAAGAGCAGCAGATTTTACATGGCACTTTGGGAGGGAACTTTGACATCAAATCATACAGAATATTAATCATTTTTTTTTACCTATTCTCCCAGTAGCTCAAACAAACAAGACAAGCAAACATTTGCAACAGGAACAGATCACAGTACTTAACTTTTCACAGAAATCTATACCTTAGTCAACATACAAGTTTTTAAAGGATGAAATAATTCAGCAATGGCTACTAAAACAAAATTGTTACCTATGGTAATTAAACTCAATCATAATATACCCAACTTTGCAGAGTGTACACAACCATGGTATATTAACATTTTTATTCAAGTCTAAACAAAATAAGGAAGTGAATAAAACATTATTTACCCTTTGAAACATTCTTTCAAGAACTCATGCAAGCTTATTGAACATTTAAATTAGATTTACAGCAATAAAAGAAACTCTAGGTCAGTGCCATTTAGAAGTTTGTATTGTCTTTTGCTTACATATGCTTACATTAAGTTAAACACACAGAAAGCACTTGACAATTTTCCTTTAATATTTTAATATAGTGTTTTATATGACACTCAGAACTGATAGACACTAAATAACCTCACATGGATGCACACATTCACATGAATAAATAATTTTCGTGTGAAAGTCAGACATACCTTTCCATCCTGAGTCAATTCTAATTGTGGAGTTTTGAGTGGACTTTCATCTTCTTCTCTGCCACCTTCTTTTAACTTGGCCTGACCAGCAGCTTCAAGATCAATGATTTTATCTCCAGCAGCCTGCCCTCCAGTAGCAGAGAAGTCTCTTACAAGACTTTGGTCTGAAATACCCATGGGAGCTATTATAGAACAAAATAATTTTGGCTAATTTGGATAAGCTGAAACTTTTTGGTTTTAAATCTTCTTAGGAAATACACTTTATGGTTATATCAGCAATGATCAGTACAGGCTAGTATTGATCCATTGTGAGTGATACAGTATTTTTCAGTTTCTTGGCTTTACAAAAAGTCTGTTGTTCTCATTGCACTGGTATGAACAGCAAACCACTTCATCATAAAACTTGCACTTATTATGTATGGAAAAGACCCTCATAGTATCAGACAAGTATTTATCAACTTCTTGATTAGTCTTGGAAGAGAAATTGAAGGTCTTGCTCTTTTGGGTGTATAAATCACCATTAAAAAAAGAGAGAGAAATATGAAAGAGTATTTTGTGGAAATTCACTGTTTGAGAGGACTACTTCAATGCAATCTAGAAATAGCTATGCATATAACTGTCACAGTATTCTTCACTGGAACCTTAGCAAAACTGCCCAATCAGCTCAGTGAAAATAAGAACTTTCCTCCCTATATGCTTGCAAAAAACGGAAGGGGGAAATACTAAGGAAGTATACTTGAATATAGTCAAAGCACAAGAGAGTGAAAGGACTTAAATTATCTTCCTCTTATTTGACTCAGCCTAACAGGACTAACGAGTAGGATGGCTCTTTTTTAAATCATGATGACTGGCTTAATCAAAATAATAGTAATGAAATAGAAGAGAATTCATTAAATGAAGGAGTTTTAATAAATAATACTTTGATACAAATTTAATTCATTTAGTAATATTCTGTAATACCTCCACATGCCTTGGCTTTACAAAGCTGAGGCGCAGAAAGTTGAGAGGAAGGTGTTTCTTAGAGTACCTTTGAGGGATATCCTCTTTTAAAAAGCGTAAGCTTCACACCAGAGACTCCCTTAAGATGCTAAGAAGCCAAGCCCACCTAATGGGAAATGTGGCATTTGGGATGTAGGGCTTTTGGGGAGCCTCTGTAAGTTCTGTAACTTAATCTTCTGATCCCTTCATGGGTGGCAAATAGAGCATTTCTTGGGTATACATCGTTCAGGTTCCCCAAGTCAGTTTCAGTGTAACTTAGGTTGGAAGGAACATCCGGAGGTCAGCTAGCCCAAACCCCTGCTCAGAGCAAGTCAAAGTAGACCAGGTTGCTCAAGGGCTTCTCCAGTTGAGTTTTAAGTACCTCCATGGTCTTTTAAAATAAGCAAAAATTTGTTACTTGTAACTGAAATCTGCTGTGTCTCAACTTGCAGACACACCCCACTGCCTTATCACCAGGCGCCTCTGAGAAACACATGGCTCTGTGTTTTCTATAGGTTCCCTGTCAGTAGCTGTGGACAGCAATACCTCATTGCAGCCTTCTCCTTTTAAAGCTGAAGGACCACAGCCCCTCAGCTTCTTCTGATATATCACAGGCCCCCAGGCCTCTGGCCAGCTTGCTGCTCCTTACTGGGCTCTTTGCAGTATGTCACTGCCCATCTAGTACTGTGGAGCCCAAAGACGAACACAGTATTTCAGGCACAGTCTCAGAAAGTACTGAATAGAGAGAAACAAGAATTTCTTCTGATGTGCCGGCTACGCTTTTGCTAATATAGCCCAGGATACCGTCGGCATTCTCCTGTTGACTCGTGCTCAACGTGTTCCACAGGAGTCTCCAGATCCTTTTGTGCAAAGCTGCTTTCAGAACAATGTTTTATCATGCTCAAAATTTTGACCCTGATGCTTCTGTAAGAGTGAAAGTTAGGGCCTGAATACACATGCCTGCGTGCCTGTATTCTGTAGATAATACACAAGGGATGCCAGAGAGGCTTCATTATAAAACAGTTGAGACTTGTGAAGAATTCAAATTGTTTGTAGCCAAAAGAAGAAGGGGAACAAAACCAGGCTCAGTAACACTGATGTGGTGATGGGTTTTTTGGTTGCCACAAGAAGTCATCACATGCTATACTGGTGAAAGGACTTTTGTCTCATATATTTACTTTAGTTCTCAGAATGTAAGACTTGGTAGGTTTCCCAAGCAAGTGTCACAGTTCGTTCATTTGTCGTAGTACAGAGAATGAATATTTGCAGAAGTAAAACTCTTCTAAGTAAGTAAAAGATTCTTTTTTTTTAAAAAAAAAGATAAAGTTGACAGCTCAATTGTAGCTAAACTCACATCTGTCTCGGTTCACTTTTATTCCGATGAGGTTGTGCATGCCTGAATCTAAGTCAAGCTTCATGTTATTTTGCTGAGTGTTTTTCTATTATATATTATTGCAGAAGTGATTTTGAGTAAGACATGTGCTATTACATCTGTCACACACAGTGCTGCTATACCTGCCCTTGGAAAGGGTGCCTGTTTCCAATAAAGGAAACTAGAAGATATTTCTGCTCAAAAAGACCAAATACCAGTAATGACAAAAAAAACCTTTAGCTATTCAAAGCGAACATAAAAACGTATAACTAAACACTGAAGTACTGAATAAATATACTAGGATAGCAATATACTGAGCAAAATCATGGAAAACTCTAAGAAACAATTAGTTCAGCCTTTTCTGTTTAGAGAAGCTCAGGCCAGCCCAGATCTCAAAAGATGCCACACACCCAACAATTTTATTAAGATACTGTAGTGTGTGCCTATGCCTTCAAAGAGGTATGAGTAGTGTGTATAGATGCTACGTACCCATTATAGTGACCTCCACATATCCACAGCAGTGCTATGCCATTTAGGAAGTGACTGAACTTAATGTTTAGGTCACCTAACACTGACAAGTACCTAAACTGGCTTTAGAAATTGAAATTCATAAATCTATCAAATGACCTTCTGGCCATCCTTAACGTTAACATTTCTGAATGTTGGTCAGGTCAGAATGGCAACACATAATGTAATCACAACACTGAAAAAATAAGTGAAATTTCATACCTCCATCAAGGCTTCTGGAAACACGTTTGCTGGAGGTGCGTTCGAAGTACGGAGCTGGTCTGTCTATGAGGTTGCTGGCCTGTCGTGTCTGCGCCTGCGTACGGCCGCTGTAGCGGAACTTGGAACCCAAGGTCAGAAACTTTGCTTTTGGAGGCTGTTCTGGTGATAGAAGTCTGAAAGGGAAATATGAGAAAAGTCAGTTTAAAAGGCTTTATTTTAAGTATTTAATGAGGCGATTTGAACCTACTTATTGTACTTCAGCTTGTGCTCTCCAAGAAAGGATTCTACTGTAAGCTCTTCAAAGACCTTTCAAACAATGCATGTTATTTATTGTTTGCAGTTGGAGTGATACTGATACCCATCACATTTTTTCCACGGTATGACGAAGCATCTGGGACTCCTGTATTTTGGTGCTATCTTGGTTAAATTTTCATTTTTTGTAGAAAGCTGAAGCTATTATAGGTCATGTAACCTCTCAGATCTCTCCTTAGAATGCTACTTATAGTAAAAGCTATACATTCCACTTCCACTGCCTTTCCTATATTCTGAGGTACCAATACAGCAGCTGCTCTTCTTCCACGTTAGGGAATGGTATCTCAAAGCTGTATAAAAGGGAGTATCAAGTGAAAAGAGATTGAGAAGACTGGAGAGTTGTTACCCAACAGCAACAAGTTTGACAGTTTACATTCAGACTCTAGTTTCTTTACAATGCCATTGGTAAAATTATATAGGTTGATGTTTGCTGGATATAAGGAGTGGGGCGAAGAAGCATATTGTGAAAAGGGTGAGAAAGAGGGTTACACGTACTGTTAATGCTGGCTATGTATGTTTGTACCATAAATGTTGGAGTCCTTGTCAGAAAGTTCAGAATGGGCTACCTAGGGAGCTGGTGGAGTCACTGTCCCTGGAGGTGTTTAAAGAAAGACTGGATGTGGCACTTAGTGCCATGGTTTAGTTGATAAGGTGATGTTAGGTCACAGGTTTGTCTTGATGATCTCCAAGGTCTTTTCCAAGACCTGGTTGATTCTGTGATTCTGTACCACCATCACATGAGTTTGAAGACAGGTCCTTTCTACATCCCTGAATTTCCTTCAGTATGAGGACTTATCTAACCCTATTGCTTGTGCTTTGTTTCTGAAATCTGACCATCAACTGCAACACTGAGGGTCCACTGCCATTCTTGCTGATAAGGCAAACAGTCATCACTGCAAGAACTCTTCCCAGTCCCCACTTCTCTGGAAAGGTCTTTGAGGTTGTTTCCTGGATCAATGTAATGCTGCAAATACATGCTCACACATCATGGCCTACTTTCTCTCTGTATAAAACTATCAGATTATTGCAGACAAAGCTTCTTGATTTGAGAATTTGCAAAGAATGAGCAGCTCACTGAACATCAACTTCTTTCAAGCAGAACCAGCAATTCACATGCTGTTTGTACTGAGAATGGCACAGATGGGCACGCAAGAGTTCAAACTTGCTGACTTTGTTCTCCTCTTCTGAGCACTTGCACAGAAATATCTGTGTCAGCGGAATCCAATCCAATATATGTTAAGGCAGTATCCAGTACTGGGTTCTGAAGACTACAACAATCATTCTAAATGTGTTTCAGCAAAACTGGAGAATTTTCAGATACCTAGCAAACAGAAGAGTGAGCTGACCCCGGCTGATTAACTGGGCCCCCCCCACTCTCCTTTCCCAGCTGGACAAAAGAGAGATAAATGTAACAAGCAGCTTATGGGTGAGATAAGGACAGGGAGACATCATTCACCAATTGCCCTCATGAGCAAAACAGACAAGACTTGGGAAAAAATTAATTTAATTTTTTATCAGTCAAATCAGAGTAGGAAATGAGAAGTAAACCTAAATCTTAGAAACACCTTCCCCCTTTTTCCCTAAGAGGGGATGTTTACTGGGGCACTAAATCTTAATTTGTTTCAACATTTATAAAGAAAAGAATTCAAGACAATCCTTCTCCCCATTATTTCCAAAAGGAAGTGCATTATGTACTAAGATGAAGAAGGCTAAAAGGGTTTTTTCAAGGTTCCTTCAATTCTTGATTTTCCATTATTGGCAAGGTTGCAGTATTAACTGCCATTTTTATCTTCCACCCTGCTGAGATAAACTTTTAATCTCTTAATGTGGAAAAAACAAGAGAACTAATTATTTCCTGATTAAGAGCATTTGAATGGATTTTTGTATTACATGTTTAATTACATAAATAACTGAAAACTGTGCATTTTAAGACATTCTGAGGAGACACTGAAAAAATCATGAAAATATCAACTAAAATATCATAAAGCAGAAATAAAAGCACATTTCTGCAGACACTGGTTAAGATCCAGAGCTGCCAACTAAGGTTACCTCAAAATTTTTATGCAGATATATGGTTTGACTGCATTTTTTATGTAGATTGCTGCTCTTTGAAAATGCTACTGGAATCCTCTAAGTTTGAGCTGATAACAAGTGAATACAATGCCCTTTGGTAGTCATTTTCAATACAGTTCATTACAATTTTTATAAATAACTTCATATACTAGTGAATTTCCTATACATTATAAGAAAACAGATCTTAATGTGATTATTTGAGATAAACTGAAACATTACGTAAGAAAACACAAGGAATCTTACCATGTTATATAGGGCATGCTAAGAGATTTGGAAGCTAAAAATAAATAAATAAAAAGCTAAAAATAAATCTAAACTGTATACAATTTACTGTGGCATCATACACGAGCTTTACACATGCTCTGGATGAGCTACAGTCTCTTGAACTGCAATTGCTTTCTGGTGTTTATCTTTGAAGGGAGATAGAGCTGGCTTTATTTTACTGTTTTTAAATCAGGATGAGAGGTTCTGAGGATTTTCTCCCTGATGACATCAGTGGAGTATATAGATTTACAGAATGGTTCAAGTATTTGTTACATAATTCTTGTTATAATGTCATTCCTGGTTAGGAAAAGCCACTTCTGATTGGAATAAAATCCAATTATTTTTATTATGTCAGTATTTCTGTAGTAAGGTTATTTCATAGCTATTAATGCTCCTGAAAGCTTTCAGACTTGCAAATGGTAGTTGTCAGTTTAGGATTTTTGACTTTCATAAGATTTGCTTTTTCCTTATTGAGGTCTATTTTATTATTATAAAACTAGGAAATACATCTTACCATCAAAGCAAATCACTGCATGAGTTGTTTGAAGAGTATTAATAAACTTTTCACTATGGACAGAACTGGATGCTATTTGTGGTAACAGACACCACCAGCCAAAGCAGACTTCAAATTTTCAATAAGAATAGAATCCTGGACTGTGTTAATAAATGAATTCTATCAACATGAAAAAAAAAAATCTCTGATCAGCATTTAAAAAATAAGTGCTTCTAAATTAAGCATTTGGAGACTGATTTATGCTGAGATTTGGCAATTTCAGCATAAGTTCTGCCTTTGCATTCAAGAACATGCTACAATCAGTGAAAATCTGAATACTGAAAACCATCCAGTTTCAGTAATCATCTGCTTAGGCCTCCTGGTCCCCAAGTTCTCTGAAGTTCTGTCTAGCAAATATATTCAGCAACAGGATTGCATCTACTTTAAAATACAAATTTTTTTTTTTTTAAAACAAACAGGCTACTGAAGGAGAAAACTTACCATTACACACCCTAGGTACTGTGTTTTGAAGAAAAAACTAAGATTCAATGCCTATCCAATTCATAGGACACTCAACCTAAATCTGTGACTCCTAGGCTACAGGGGGCATAGGTACACCTTCATGGAATGTGTGTCATAAAAATGAAATAATGTCAAAATCCTTTTCAGTGAAGGAAATAGACAGAGGAACAACTCTTGGCCACTTGTTAAGGTGCTCATTTACAAATAGATCATAGTTTCAATGACCAATTCAGAATTCTGTGTTCCTCATTGCTGGAGAAAAAAATGCAGAGGATGTTATAGATTATTACATAAACAAATAATCTGTTTAAAGTAATTATGTTCTTTTTGAAGAATGACTGTGAACTTAACCTAGTTCATAAATAAAGAAAAATTCAGCTAGAAGCATTTACACTCAGCAGAATGTTGAAATTAATTGAATGAAGATTACTGTAAAGCTCTAAGAGCTTCTGTGATGATGTATAAGGGCTTTTTAGATAGTCATTCTGAAAAGTCAGTCTGTCAGGAAATCTTACCACAAATCACAGAATGTATCAGGTTGGAAGGGACCACTGTGGGTCATCTGGTCCAACCTCCCTGCTCAAGCAGGGTCATTGCAGAGCACATGGCACAGGATTGAGGCCTGACAGTTCTTGCACACCTCCAGTGCTCCATGACCACTTGTTTAGTTCCATCCTCTTAGCATTCTGAAAGTTTTGATAAAGCAGTTAATTGTACTTGAGACTTTAGGAATTGGTAATTTGGGGTCAATTATTGTCAGGGTATCTTCTGTCTAAGAGGTGATACTGCAAGGGGCAAAGAAGGGGGAAAGCTTTACTTTCCTCTATCCTTTAAAAGAAACATAGGAGTACACCTTGCAAAGTGGGGGAAGGAGAGAATTATCATTTACCTGAAGAAAGTATGGTGCTCCACACAAACCTTCCATAACCTTTTAGCAGCACGATGGTTTGGCAGTTTGAACCCAATAGTGCTCTCAAACTGTTCCAGCTGGAAAGAATCCACAAATAAATGAATCCATTTGCTTAAGCTGGCTATTAATTAAGAGGTAGAGTTCAGACAATTCCATTACTGCATAAAGCTTTAATATTCCTCACATAAGATTTCATAAGATTTTTTAAAACTTTTTGAAAAATATCAGAATTTCCAGCCTTTTAAAAGAATTTTACTTAAATAAAATAGATCTTCTTGGTTTGCCTTTACTAATAAAGAAAGGTGTTTAATACAATCATTAGAATCTGAAGAGGAAAAACAATCATAAGTTCTGTTTGAATATATCATAAGCTTATAAGGACAGATGTGGAAAAAATGAGGATGTTTTCTTATTGCTGGACAGAAATGATCTCACAAAAGAAACAAGACTGAAAGGTCCTACTTACTTCTGCAGGCCTGACTTTGATGTAGAAATTACTTCGCTTGTAGGAAATCTTCAGAATTTTTGGCCAAGCGAAGCGGTTGATCCGGAGTCTGTCTTTGTAAATCAGCAGGCCATTAGCACAGACACCCAGCATGATATCCACACCTTCAGAATCCTACCAGGTGTGAGACAATTTCATAAAAATCACTTCAATAACATTCCAAACAAGTAATTATTGCTGACATACCTTGAGGGAATATTGTAAATGGGACACGTTTCATATTCAAGCCTGACTCTGACAATGAGATTCTTGAATCAGAAATAGCCAAGTATATTCATTTTATAGGAAAGACTTTGGACTCCAAGTAATGGTTTTGGCATTCATATGCCACAGTTCTGGGAAATTCTTCAATATTCTGGTAATAGGGACTAAGTTAACAACTTAAAAGCAGGAAAGGTATGGCCAGTGTGTGTGCTAGCAATAATTTCAACAAATATTAAAAGCAGAAAAATGAAAACCAGGCCTGTCCCACTTAAAGCAGTCAGTGGAAGTCTGAACAAGCTGGTGATCAAGGTGACCAGTACAGTCATGTACTATTCCAGCAAAGATAGAGGAGGTAATGGACAGGTTTCTGAGCATTCTCTTTCACTGGCAGCATTTGATGCAAGTTTTACAGGCTACAAAACGAATCACTTACTGATACACTACACAATACAGCAGAATCTCATGTCCTCCCCAACAACTGATCAACTACATCAAATGCCAACACAGTCATTATGGAGTTGCTTCACTGGCAAAATTAACAAAACAAAATTTAACCGTATTTCTCCAGTACTTAAAAGTCTTTGTTTTCTTTTTTTAAATGCAAGACTGATATGCTTGCAATACTTTAAATTTCCTAATGATTTTGAGATTCTGGATTTATGAGAGGGAGTGGGAGGAGGTTATTAGTTTGTCTTCTGAGGTCTTAACAAAAAAAAAAAAATTTTAAAAAATTCCCATTTGAAATTAAAATTTTATTTGATCTACCCCAGGAAGTGGAAAAAGCACCAAAATCCTCCCCCACGACCTCCCCCTCATATTGTTTTTAATTCTCATGGTACTATGAAAACAATTACATGTTCTTTTATGCTTTACTTTATTGGCCTTGCATCTCCTCAGCATAGAAAATATGACATTTTAAATGTTTTTATTTGCTCTTAGGAGTGAAATGTTATTTCCAAGTTGCACATGTCTATGCACTAAATAAAATAAATATATATAAATTTACAACTCTAAATATATATAAATTTACAACTCTAACATTCTACTGATGTTAGAGTTGTAAACTGAGTAATTATTATAACCAAGAGATAACGGCCTACAGCTAAAAATTAAGCATATGGCCTTTTAAAAAATAATCTATATATATAGTATTTTTTTTAGTACTTAGCATGTCTATCCTAAAACGAAACCAAACAAACCCAATCCCCAATACCTTGGCATGATGTAAATCCACTCCATACATGGAGAGTCTCTTAGCATTTTCTAGGAACTGGGAATCCGCCTGTGCTGGAGTCAAGCCCCTAAAACCATTGAACAAGCTTTGAGTTTATTGGCAAAAAAAACGAGTGTCAAAACTGAGTGGAATCCTGGAATTCAGACTGATAGAAAAACCTCAGTTTATAAGGTATCAAGAACATTTTTGCTCTACAGGAAACGTGTTCTTTCACAGCATATTATTTTACTTGAGTACAGATTTCCACCTTCACTCATTCAAACAGATGCATGCATGCATGAATTAGTTTTATATGAAACTAATTCATATAAAAATACTTTTTTCCAAAAGTTCTCTAATAAGACTTTAGTGCAACTACTGTTTTCAAACTCAACTTTCTAAACACACCAAAGTAAGAGCTTTTAGTTACGTAAGAAATGATTTCCAAAGTAACAATATGTTTACCTCAGCAGATTTACACATACTCCTAAGGGAGAACTGACATAAATGTGACAAAGCATGATGACTTCTTTTAATCCCACTGTATCTGACATACCTGTGTGTTTTGTGTAGCTCAGCCACTTTCTCTTCCATTTCTTGGGTCTGATTGGGTGCAAACTGGAATTCACTGATATAATCACTGCTGTGCTCCTCTGGGTCATGATCACCCAGCTCAGCCTGCAGGGTATATGAACCAAGGAGGGCGTGAGTCACAAAAGAACATGGCAGTCGGCCAGATACAATATCCTGGCGAAGCTGTAGGCACAAGAAATACCTGCAAGACAAATGAGAAAAAAACAACCAAAGAGAAAGAAGAACAAAGAAAGGGTTACCTATGACAGATAATGAGAAATATGGCAGAATTCATCAAGATGCGTGTAACTGGGTAAGCATGTTTTAAAGTAAGCAAATACATTAATAATGACATTATATTATTTGAGCGTTATTACCACACAGTAAATTTCACTTGATTTTTATGGGTCAATATAATTTTCATTAAAAATGTGAAAAGCAGGAAGAATTCTGATTTCCAGTATAAATGAATAAAAAGCTATCTAGTTTTAAACAAAAGATGACTTAGGAACTCATTTAGTTCACATTGTAGCCTGTAGGTATCTATGGTTTAAAAATATAAGCTACGCATTTTTTTGATATTTCCCTTTGGCCTTGAAACTCCAACTTTTATATCCCTTGCAGTTCACATGCATGTCATGCATTACATGTCATGTAATACAAGAGAAATCCAGTTTCTGTAGTACTGAAATCACAATTACATTTCTTAAACTAGGTATGTATTAGAATTCAATCTTTCAGGTACTGTATACAGCCTTCCACCAAATTTACCAAGTTAAACATCAGCAGACATGCCCACCTTAGCAGAGATTTTTTTAAAAATATAAGTGAAATAAATTCTTACTAGTGAAACTTAGATTGAAGATATAACCAAAAAATGTTTTTATGAGTTGAACAAGAAATAGAAAAACCAACTCACTGAAAATTTTCCAAGGAAATACATACAACTTCTTGTAAATGCACTTTGTACTAAATGCCTTTGATGATGCCACAAATCCCTATTTGTAGCAATATATTAGCTGCACATTTGCATAGCTATCTTATTGTGTGCAGAAGACTGATCAAATGCAACATGTATCATATATCCTGCTTCAGCAGAGTCAGCTAACTCCAAACCAAAGTACTTAGGTTTCCTGTAACTTGTGAGAAAAATGAATCAGTTCCCTGCAATCTATCTCCAGTTATCAGCCTTGCAGTGCTACTTTTAGGTGCTTAGTGTCCACTGCATTCCAAGTATTTTCTGTCTAAGTTCGGAAGATAATTATTTTCAGGTTCTATTATGTTTTGTGGCTTTATTTAAAGCACATGTGTAAATCCACATTTTCATCCACCTAGTCTGGATTATTACTGAAGTATCTTGGATCCCTTGAGCTTTGCTCAAGACCCACATGCCTTAATTTGTTTCATAAGAAAGCAGCAGTCTGGCAATAAACCACCAGCTTATTTCATATACTATCACTCACACCTTACCTGCTGCCCAAATCATATCCCCACTTAACATTAAATTCTTCTTGCTCAGTTTTTTTCCAGAAGTTTTCATTGTAACTTTTCAGACTTGTTCCAAAAAGCAGCTGATGTATGTAAGAATATCTATAGTGTACAGTACCCAGAAACTGAAGAAGAAATTCTATGTGGCTATTAAATTAGACTAACAGTAATTTAAAATTTAAAATTAGGACCTGTGCATACCTAGTGATGTCTTCAGTCAACTGTGACGGATCAGGGGGATAAAACTTCACATTAAAGGTGAATATCCAAGGTAGACCTAAATATGGGAAATATCTGATTGTTAATCTCAATTAAGTCCAAGTAAGCAAAGAACAAACTTTATTGAAAAATGTTAGGAAGTAGAATAAATCCTAATCGCTGAAATCACGAAGGAAGTTTTTTTCTGTTTTTCACTGTACACCATTAGGAACCATAGATTATTTTCATTAGCAGGTAGAGCCCCACAGATATAATCAAAGATTGGCATGTTAAAATTATTTTTAAATAATGTTTTACAGTAAGTTACACAAATATCAGAAGACATTTTAAACTTGAAAAAGACCATAATATATTAACACTTCTAAGATATTATGTATTCAAAGGCACTTGCATTGAACTTGTTTTTATTTCCAACTCCTCCAAGGCTAAGAGTCTCCTCCTGTCTAAACTTAGATTGAGAGACTGTACAGTAACTGCCAACATGATACATCAAAATGAGCTCTTTGTTGTTGTATGTAACAGAAATATAATAAATTGTTCATTGAGAACGTGTGGAAGACAAAAATATTAGCCATTCCTACTTTAAAATATTTTTCTGGTAAACACCACATTAAACAACTACAATAACAGTGATATTTCAATTCTTATATGTTAGACTTGTTAATAATACATGCATTTTTTAAGCAAAACATGACTAAAACTAGATTAATAATTTGAAAAAGAATAAAATGTTACTTTTAGTCATAGCTCTGTTTGAAAATAAATTTTTAAGATTTGAAAGCTAAATCACACATCTATAATTAAAATACATTTTCAGAATGTTAGTATTTTGGACAGTAAATTATTTTAGAACTCTGCATTACACAGATAAATCATGCTTTGAAAAATGTGTCTTTCTACAGCAACACAAAAAGACTGAAATCCCACTTTCAACACAATGCTAGAAAAAAGTGCTGACATTATTTAAGGTTACTTTCTTAAAAAAAACCTGTTCTGAAATTCCGTATATACTAAAGGTAAAGAGGTGTGTCAGAATTTCTAATGTCTTCCAACATTTCAGAAATTATTTTGGTTTTTCAGACATGGCTATTCACTGAAGCACTTCAATTTTTATTTAAGTGTGAACCTCATTCTACACCTGGCTGCTAAGCCACTATTTCTCTTTGAGAGCTCTGGGTTTTAGTGTATCTTAACATTCCCAGTTATCAAGATTTTTTACACTTTTGTTTACAAAATAAGGCAGGACCCTTAAATGAGGTCTCATTTATCATTGCATTTTCTACTGTGAAGCAGTGCAAAACAGAATTAAGACAAAAATATCTTGGAAAAAAAGTCTAACAATAATGAACACATACAGCATAACAAACACAGTTAAAGATGGATTAGATTAACCTACTTCCATCCTCTCCCAGGGAATCAGCATAATTTAATGGAAAGACACTGATACTGGGTAAACCAAAGTGATGAGTATGAGCAGTAGGGCCAAAATATCTAGGCAAAAAGCATTCAAGGAGAGCTGTCATGTTAACAGAGCTGGAGAAATGGATGAAGGATGTGTCCTTCCACACTGGTACTAAACCAGTCTTCAAGTTTTTCCTGGTCTGAAATTGCAGTTAAACTAGTCACATATGAATTCCTGTTTAACTATTGCTCTTTCTGGTCAGCATTTCTACAGCTAACTTTCAGAAAGCACTGCAGCCAGGAGACTTAGGTGTGGTTTGAAGAAAAAAAAACCTGAAAAAACTATATTCTCTATAAAAAAAGTGCATAAATCCTCTGAGTGAGCAGGCTTTGTAAAAAAAAAAATCGTATCTCTACTTACACTGATTAAATTGCTAATTTGTGGAAAAAATATTGAGGTTGATTTTTTACTAAATATTTTCTGGACAGCTGGTGACCATGTATTTTACCTGATTAGTGAAAACACATTTATCCCCTAAATACAGAGTAGCAAGTTTATTACAATGTGCACAGTCTACACTTCTATTTCACATTAAAGAAGACTTTTTATAACTGCACAAACGAGGCATATAATCATAGTTGTCCTCACATAATAATGCACATTATTGCCGGCTCTTCATAGAGTTGGTAGTCAAAACAAAAAAAAACCAACCCCAAAGCTGATTTAAAATTGTATTTAGCATTCTGTCCTCGATAAGGCTCTCTGTTTTAATTTTCAGTTGTATGGGCTACAGAAATGTCAAAAATTTTTCTAGCCAGCTTGTTACAACAAGAATGCTTTTGTGGCAACTTTATGCCCATTCTTAGAGAAAAGAATGCAATATAACCAACCAGCTAGCAGCATACAATTACCATGATTCATCCCATTTAAACTGGGAAAAATCAGTGAGGGTTTTTTTTCCAGTAAAGGCTTTTTCTGGCTTTTACTCATGATCTCTTGTATGTCAGCTTTTGCAAGGAAACCCTTCTCTTGGCACAGGTACTTAGTTCTCTTCAACAATGACAATCTAGACTCTAGTGTAATCAGCTTAGATGAAAAGTAGCTACAACTCTTACAGATATACAGCTAAATATATATAAAATAGAAGGATATAAAATCATGTGAACCTGCATAAAGTGACCACCATATTTTGATGCCTGAGCATACCCATACATTTATTAGCATTAAAATCAGACAGCCAGAGCTGTGCAGCTGAAGTGCAAGCTCTTTCCTAATTAATTAAAACTTCTCTTAGTTCTCCAGCCTATTCTGTCCTCAGAACATCTGAACCCTCTCCATTTCTTACAACATATAGAACACAAAATATGTGATGTGGGAGTATTTTTTGCAGTAAAAATACTAACCATGCTGCAGGCTAGAAAAATATTAAATTGACATAATATTACCTTTGGTTTAAACCGATAAATTCTCAAATTGCATTTTATGTAAGGGTGACCCAACACACCCTCTGTGTAATCTGAGATTTGACTATTTGAAGGTCATTTGCTATTGCCTGTACCATCATAATATTCTAGCTGTGTTTCTCAGCTCTGCAAAAGCCTGAATCCACTTGAGAGGTACCAATTTTCAAAAAGATAGTGACAGAAATATAATTACCTACCTGTCCCTGAAAGAAGTAATTAGAGGTTTTAACACATGCCAGTGGATAGCCAAGTACATGAGTTAAAAAAAGTCAAGAATTCACTTTCCTGAAGAGATCAGGCTGGCTGAAAGCAAACAAGATTTTTGTCACCTTTGTAGCCCTGAGAACAGAGACAGTAATTTGTGGATCATGTTCATTAGCTGAAGTAACATCAGTAATTGCTGAGATCCAACATAATTGCCCAGCCAAAGGCCAACCTGTACAAGTAAGAGATCTCACAGAGGGGCTGAGGACTGTGTCACAGCAAGAGACAGCCTGCAGAACATGAGTTGGGGGAGACTACGGGATTCTTATTTCATCTTTTCCAGTCACAGGTGGCACATACATCCCCAATGTGCAGAGTATTGATGTTGCTCACATTTAAGAGAGACAGAGATTATTGTAAGTATTATGTTGCAAACTGATGTGTTGAACTACATTTCTGAAAGTGTCACCTTTATGCGTTCAGATCAATGTATTTGTCCAAATACACTTATCTAGCATGCTAGTGCCTCAGTTTGTGCCATACAAGAGAAAAAGAAATCACCAAATTTCAGAGTTGGAAGGGACCCACAAAGATCAGAAAGCCCAGCTCTTAAGTGAATGGCCCATAGAGGGGACTGAACTCACAACCTTGGCTTGTTTTTTGTTTTTTAGCACCAGGTTCTATCCAACTAAGCTAATCTCAGGTTGAAAAATTCATTTGATCAATGGTCATTTTCAACTTTCAAATGGACTAATAGGTTTTACAGGTATCTTAAATTTAATGAGTATTTTTGCACACAGGATTTCCATTCTTGATTAAAGACAAATATATTTAGAATTAAGTAAGTCTGAAAAGAAAAAAGTCTCATTATTTGATACTTATGTAGCTGGAGGATTAAATGTGCCTACAGTAAGATTCCAATTTCTGGAAACTTTAATAGACTAATGCTGAGGAACACAGCTAACACTATACTAATTACTTGCACATAGGTGTAAGCAAGCATCATTTTAAAATCCTTTCAATCATGTTCTTACTTCACTGTTTATTTTATTATGCCTATCAACTTTGAAATACTACAGACCAGAGGAGAAAAAAACATCCCATCATGATTCTTTATACCATAACTTTCAATGGATTTGTTCTTCAGTGTAAAATGTAGGTCTTCATGCTGTATGGAAAATCAAACCACCTTAACCTATATTTCTGTAGTGCATGTGATACAGTATTAAAAAGAACTTTGTGTAGCGCATCCAAAAAATGTTCAGGTCGGTTCTTACGCTTCAAATTTGTGACACTAACTGGTAGGCTAGATAGCATGCAAAGTGCTACAGAATACAAAAAGATATCAACATTTGTATCAGCAAAGTTGATACAAAAAGTATCAACATCCTCCATCTTTTTTCATTTATTAAAACCAAACAGCCTTTAGCCTGCATATTTGGACATCTAATAAATTTTCACTGAAGACCTGCAGAAGTTCCAATACCAGTAACTTTTCCTCAATTAAAAGTGTGGGTGCTAATTGCATATTAGTACATTCACTGTTTTAATAGGTCTAGTTTGCTTACACAAAAGCATGTTGGATCAAAAAACCAGCTTCCAAAGATGTTTCTGTAACTTTAATTTCTATAATGAGAATATAAACCACACCTTCCTATTAATGGATTTAATCAATGGGCAAAGATGTGAAGAAAAAGGAATTAACACCACTATGACTTCTGGAAAAAAAGAGTATTGCCTTAAAATGTGGAGTTAACAGCAATAAAGAAACCATCTGTTTGTCATTATAAATAACACACTGCTGTTCTTAATTACAAGTACAGTCAAATTCTTAGCTTAAATTCTCATGTTGTAAGTCTAGGCTTTTAAATATTATCATAAGCCTCTTCTCCCCACTTTCCTATCAGGTACTACCAAAAGGTTTCCATTAAAAACAAAACAACAACAAAAATCCTAGTTTGGCCACAAGTGAGTAAGGCAACGACAATAAGTTCAGTAAGGACAGGGGCTGTCTAGCATGTTTTAGTGGCCACTTATTTTGTGATATGTAGATTCAAGCAGAGTATCACCTAGATTTACTCTCCATACGCTCCCTAGCTAGTGAAGAGCTCTGACAGAGCTTTATGCAAACAGAGTAAAATAAATTACTCATCATGTACTAAGTATAGGAAGTAGAAAGGCATTTCAAGCAGATTCAGTCTGAAAAGTACTGTAGTGAGATATTCCAAGATTATGCTTTCTATTCCATCTCCATTCTGAAAATGATGGACATTACCAAAAAAGTCAATGGTGGACTGATCAGTACTGAAGAATATTCATTTTCTGTAAAACATATTAATTCTCCTTTTGTAGGTTCATATTCTTCTGGTGATTCTTTAAAGTAAGAAAGTTCTATGACAATCATCACCATCTTTGTGTGATCGCATTCTCCATCCAGTAACCAACTATCAGCACAAAGTTGAAAAACATCTACAGTTTCAGGATGCAAAAATATCGGCTATTACTCACAAAACAAGGGAAAATTTTGGGGCATTAATATATGTGATTAGTTCCTAATATAATATAATGATTAATCATCATAATATAGTGATATAATAATAACATATAATAAAGTATAATCATTAAGTTCTACTTCCTTCTTCTTCCCCCTACTTGGACAAGACATGGAAATAGAAGATTTGCTTCCTGTTTTAAGGTGAATACATCACTATCAGATAGAAATTATTTTAAAGCTGTAAGCAATTGACATCCAGGCTACTAAATTTATGAAGAATATTTCTGTGAGGAAAAAAAAGAGCATAACATCTGAATACAGAAGTACTTACTTCGAATTTGTCTCTTAATTTCCTTCGAAGGATCTAGCCAGTTCTGGAAAAAAAAAAGAACAAGCAAACCACAGCCAGCATTTAAAATCCTCAATACCAAAAATACTTTGGTATAATCTGTGCAACATATTAATTAGTTTTCACATTTCAGTTACTACTGATGTGTGCAAAGAGACTGTTTTGTGATAGATCATCCAAAAATTAACTTTTGGAAGTGAAACTAAGGAATCTGTAACATATATTCATTGCTAACTTAGACAATCCTGTTTACTAGTTTTACCTGTACATGTTTAAAAAAACAGGTTAAGAGACTAGGAACATAAAGCTTTTAACTACAATTACTGAGACTTTCCTTCATTGTGTTTGAACCTTTACTCCTCATGGCCACACACACACACACAAGCACTTTCATAGAAGAAACACGCATAAAGCCAGCCTGACAGCAGGTCTTGCAATGTTTCAAAGACAGATGTGACATGCAGGGAAGAGTTAGATACTGCCTTGTGAGGCCAAGGAAAATATCTGCTTTTTCACAGGCCACTGCAGGTACCTGCAGTTTTAAAGCCTGAGGGAATACCTCAGTGCCAGCACAAATGTTGCCAAAAAGTTATTTCTGCCAATGTTTCTCACCTAACTTAGCAAAGCAGAGCATCCTGGGTATAATGCGACCCACCTTTTTCAGTCTATGGTAGCAAACAAGTTCCAGATGTAACATTGTTTCCCAATACCATATCCCTCAGTCTCTGTAAGGGGCTTTTGCACCCGAAGTCCATCTTCTTTCAAGAAGACAAAAATGCTAGTCTAGTTTCACAGATCCGTGTGAATTAGGAGGATGTGGAACTACGTTTCTGCAGCAGTGCAAATCTTTATCATAGATTACCCCTGCTGACAGAGAATGTGTCTCCTATGAATATGGACCAACGCACCAAGGTGCCTGTTGTAAATGAGCTTGGTCCAAGTAGATTTCATCACCAGTGCACCATGTGTATATTAGATGAATATTATTTACAAATTAAAATTAAAACCCCATTTTTAAAATTTATTACAATTGTAATGTTTTTAAAAGGCAATAATTTCACATTTCTTGCTTTATCTGTGATCTCAACTTTTCCATAGCTATGACAGTTTTTCCAGAGAAGACAAAGTCCATAGCATTTTTACAAAGGAAGAGTTAGAAAGCACTTCTCCAAAATCCTGGATACCATTTAGACTGCTTAAATGAGAAAAATTGCTTTCTGTTAGAAGAACCTTGACATGGAAAGGCCCTGGAAGATAATGTAAGTCTTCAAATAATTTTAACTGAGACTCACTTCAGCTACAGCTATCATCCAAGGTTTTCAGTTTTGGCAAGGATTCCATTCTGAAATTACCCATAGCCATATTCTCGCAACTCCAATAACTAGAAGTATCTTAAATCCTTACATTTTAGACACAGCATCAAGTAAATAGAGGCATGGAAAAACTACAACAGAAAAGTAGGATTTCTGAGTACATAATACTTTCAGTGCTTCATCTTTTATCACTACAAAGCAGGAGAAAAGAACATACAATACAAACTACGCTGCAAGATGATAATAACAATCCCTTCTTTACACAAGTTACACAGTTCATTTTCTGATTTTTCCATGCCTGAAATAAGCTTATTGGAAGCAGACTTAGCCACCAACTTTCATTACTCTGTCAAATAAAATCAGATGCTTATATTCCATTTATAGGCACAATTACAGGGGTGGGGTTTTTTTTGCATCTGTGCATTTTGTCATGGATAAAAACAAACACCACAAAAGAATCTACCCTAAATTAGAGCTCTTAATGCAAAATAGGCAGGTCTGTCTTTCAAAACAAAAGACAAAGTGTATACACACTACTTTGCTCCAGTAGGCAGAAATCTATTTGTTAAATTTGTGAATGGTAAGGTTATAGATGAGACAAAGTAATGTATTGTCGAAGAACAAAATGTTCTCTACCAGTACAATAGTATTTTGTACAAATCCAGAAAAGCAGCATTTCCAGCTGGTGCCCAAAACATAAGAGCTGAAGCTTTCTAACACTTCTACAGACCAATTACAGTGTGAATGGAGCATTCATGAACTTCTGAGGGTGCAATGCAACGAAATCTCTAACTAAACTTCAGGCTAATAAATTTAACATTTGCAAAAAATGAATGAAATCATTAATTACTAATTTGTCCTAAATAGTTTTAAAATGTGTATTAAAGCTAACAAAAATCAGTCTGATTGGAAGCCATCACTTCTCTCCCAGCTGCACAGAACGCCCATGGAGAAGAGTTAATGGGACTCCTCCTCCAATGGTACTCCGATGGTGCATTGGGGAGCAGCTCTAATTCAACAGAGTGCCTGGCATTCAGTTGCCACGTGCCACAGCTGCCGTCGCATTCAACAGCTGGATCATAAATGGGTGGCTGTGATGAGTGCACAAGAATGGGAAAAACACATCATTCAGCATTTAGTACTGACTGGCCTGGAGGGCAGGGATTTGTGGCATTTTAATCTAAAAAGGGAACAGTCATAACAGAAAAAAAAAAAAGATCTGGTACCAAAATTAAAAAGTAACTCAATACAGAGGTGAACAAAAAAGGGGGCCCTAAACCTAGCAAAAGTTCTGAGAAAGTAGGAGATGTGAAACATAAATTTGCTAGGAAAGAGGTTTTTTTAGTTTCTCCAAATAACACTAGGAATGTATTGGTATGAAGAAGACAAAATCCACCAACCACCAGGTTGTTTAGTGTTCATAACAAAAAGAACCAGATTTCTCCAGAAGTTTTTAAATACAAGCCTGGTGCAGTCCATAACTCAGGTGAGAAGTGATCTATGCTACTTTTGAATAAGGACCCCATTATCAGATATTTCTCAGTTTATGTAAATGCATCTTAATTTATGTAAATATTTATAAGTGTTGCTAGAGTACCACCTTCACAGTCAATGGATAAGGAATTCAAGGACTCATTCACACTGAAAGAGACATCTGGACATAACTGGCCCAAGTGTGATTCAAGAGCCAGTTTGAATTAGGTCAGGTTGCCCAGGTTCATATCCAGCCAAGTTTTTAGTATCTCCAAGGAAAAAGACATATGAAAAAACAGATGGGGTCTTTCTAAAGAGTGGACCTCAGTTTCTCTATTCCAATGACTGAAGAATACCAAGAAAGTCTTAGTCTAACTAGAGGAAAGGAAAAAAAAAAAAAGAGGAGGGAAAAAAAAAATACATAACCCTACACCAATCCAGACTTTTTTGCTCAACTTTCAAAAACCTGAAGCTCCCTATTTTATCTCCTAGAATCTACTCAGTGGGCTATTTTCTGGTACAGGTCAAGGATCTCAGGTCTAGTATTAGACCTTTTCTCTCTTGCCAGAGATCAGACTGCTGTTTGATATTATTTTGTTGTGTGTATAGAGTATAGTTTTTCAATAGTGAGAAGCACAAATAAAGCAACAAGTGAAAATAACAGATATGATTATTATATTAATTAGAAGATCAACAGAGATGTTCTTCATCGTTACACCAAAGAAGTTCTTACATTTGGAAATGATTTTGAAATCAAGAACAAAAATTAAATATCTAAGTAATTATATAACAAGCTCATTCTGTATATGGGGATTTTTAATATAGAGGAATTGAGTATTTTGCTCAATACTGCACAGAAAGCTTTGCACCAAAGCAACTAACTCTAGAAAAGAGCTTTATCAGAATGGAAGTTGTCAGAAATTCAGATTTATTCAGATCATGAAATTACACTAATTTTTTTTTTAAATAGTGTTAAGAGGAAGATGACAGAAAAAAAGCAATAACTTTTAGATGCAGTATGATGTAATCATGCTTTTACTACAAAAAGAGATTAAAAAGAAATACAATTTTTCCAGCTTCACGTTGTAATTATTAATCTGATTTTTTCTGAAGAAAAAATGACAACACATAACAACACATAAATCTTTAGTTCATGGAGGAAGCAACAAGCAGTCCAGCCCAAAACTGTAAATGTTAAGATGTTAAAAAGATAAATTGGGTTTTGGTAATTAATAGAGCACTTGCCACTGACTAATTTAAGATTTTCTTCAGCTGAGCAATCTAGATATGCTCAACCACCCAACAAAAAAGCAAGTGCAAAAGAAGATGGAAGTTACCAAATGGTACTTAAGAAATCCTTTCAAATGCAGTCATCTCAAATGCCATTCATTTGTAAAACTGGCATCCAATACCAGTGATGGACCAGTTTTAGCCTCTTTACAAAGGCCAAAAATTTTCTTTAAACTTAAAATTAATAATGAAGTCAAAGGCGTAGTCGTAACAGACTTAAGGGCTAGATTCCTTTCATGTTCACAAACAAAGCATTCTTACACATCTACGGGAAAAGGCAGCAAAATGTACTCAAGTGTTTGAATCCTAAACATTTACTAGAATATACCTCACTGAACTATTGAAGTGAGTGACAGTGATGAAAAACAAAACCGTCATACAGGCTTACCTTCTGCTCTGAATTCTCATAAAACAACAGCCCAAAATAGTCCTTTTCCAGTAAATTGAGGTGTTCACATACTTTGTCAAACAGCACTTGTCCTCTTGCTCTTTTCTGAGGGGTGGGAGGGTAGGAAAAGAAGAAAAAAAAAGAAAAAAAAGAGAAAATTAAGATAAGTAAATCAGTAAGGTCCTTAATTACAGGTACTGTTATTAAGTACCTGTAATTAAGGTATTATTATTAATTAAGATATTATTCAGGAAAACTTAAAAAATACACACAGCAGATTATAAAACTATAAGCTTTCTTACAAACACTGTTCACCATATTTCAAATCTATACATATCCTTGAAAAAAAAAATAGAGAAATTTCAATGTTTTTTCAATACATCAAAAAACCCTGAAACAACAACAACACAAGGAAAATTCAATACCTGAAAAATTTAAATATTCTGCACTATTAAGTGTCACTAAATAGTCTTGGTTTTTCTGGATCTTTATTTTTTAAACAGCAGAAGGCTTCTTTTTCTGAGCTCACTTTTTCTCTATTATCTTCTAAAAATTAATATGGTTTCTACAATGCTAACTTTAGCATTTTTATCGTTTTGGTATACATCTCAGTGACTTATGAATCCCATTATATGAATGTACTGAAAAATAAAGTGTGTTATCTTCAAAAGACAAAAAGAACAAGCAGACCACTAAGAGCTGATGCTCAGATCAGCAGAAGCAGCATGCAAGCAGAAGATGAACATAATGCAACATGTATAGTTGTCTATATCCTACAGTGGTTTGTTTCAAGGGGCAGAAAATAAGATAGCTGCTTTCTATCCATGTATTTCTGCAATCTCAGTACCCAAAATTTCATTAGATAAATAACAAGAAATCTTCAAGAAGTTTATTTTTCCTAAAAATATTATTTTTGGAAGTCAGTAACAAAGGAAAAAAACCTGAAGGTTTTATTTGAGATTAGTTTACGTATCATAGTCTGCTGCTTTATAAATATAGTAATTGAAGACTGATCATCATTTTACCATATTTCTAAAAAGCATTTTAAAATGGCCACTTTCAAGCTCACTTGGTGAGCTCAGTATTACTAGAGCTGAAGCAAATGGCAGTCAGTACTGAAGTCTGATCTGTTCTTCTTGTGACCTTTCCAGCAGCCTTCCAGTATCTAAAGGGGGCTTAAGAGAGAAGGGAAGGAAAGGCTATGTAGTGACAGGACAAGAGGTAATGGCTTTAAAGAGAGTAGGTGCAGATTAGGTATTAGGAAGAAATCCTTTCTTGTGAGGGTGGTGAGGCACTGGAACAGGTTGCTCAGTGAAGCTGTGGATGTCCCATCCCTGGAAATGTTCAAGGCCAGTTTGGATGGGGCTCTGAGCAACCTGGTCAGGTGAAAGGTGTCCTGGCCTAAGCAGGGGGTTTAAAAACTAGAAGTTCTTTAAGGTACCTCCCAACCCAAACCATTCCATCATTCTGTGATTCTTGTACCTGAAACTGGGAATGTAAACATGTCTGTAGTGCCAGTAATGAAAACAGGCTCTTCTTCTGTATGCCAGGTTTTAAGGAAAATCTTTGTCTCCTGCTGACAGGAGACAAAGATTTAGAGCAGATGGCTCACACCACATGCTCAGGGGTGGGAAGATGAGAAGTTCTTTCCACAGTTCAAATCTGACCATGACTGGCATGCAGCCTCCAGTTTGAACCAACTCCTTCATGACAGCTCTGCTATTTGTGGCATTTATCGTAGAGGCCACAATATGGCCTTTCCAAAGGCCTGCTAGCTTATAGGAATTTTTGCATTTGCTTATCCTACAGATTTCAGTAGATGCCACACGCCACTGCCATTCCACAGAAACGCCATCAGCGGCCCCTGTGTAGGCCTGGGTGACACTGTGGCCATTGTCCCCGCAGACAGTGGCAGAGCACTCCACGGTCCCCATTCCGGCACTCCCGCAGCTCGGCAAAGGCCAGAGGGAGAGGGGAGAAAAGAAGGTATGCACTGAGCAAAGAGTGAAGGCATTGTTGATTTATTCCCCCAGAATCCAGAGATTTATTCAAAATCACATTGTCCAGCAGCCATTCTACTCAGGAAGATCAGAAAGCTTTCACAGAAGCAAAATTCTAAAACAACCACATTTAGTAGCCCAAGTAGCAAGGCTAAATCAAGAAAGTAGAATCAGAGTGACTTCTGAAATGGGAAGCAGGGAATTTTGAGCCTGTTTGGTACTTTCAAAAAATCTTACTCCTCAAGAAAGATGACTACTTCCTCTAGGCATCTGAAGTAACCAATTAATTTTCTTGACAGCTTCACCTTCAGCTTAATAAGAAAAATCACCAATATAGAAAAGCGGTAAATTGAAAGCAGAAAAAATATAAGCAAGAGAGAGTTCAAAGAATCTTAGATTCATGTAATAGATACCAATTTTTTTCCAAAGTTGACGTAATGGTCAGTGATCATATCTTGCAAATGCAAGTTGGAGTTATACACATTTCAGTAAAGGAAATCTATAGATTAGCGCAAAATAATATATGCTATCATATCAAGCCCACCTCTGGAATCAGATGCTTTTTTATAAAGTTTATATACTAAAACCCACAGTTAATATCAAGTCTTTGACATCTAGAAACATAAAGCAGACAAATCTACAGGAAATATATTGCAAGTATAACTGAAAATATATTAAACAGCTTCTTATTAGGAAGTCATAATAAACAAAGAACTTGGATACACTAAGCAGTGCCCACTGTATCTTTAAACATCTTTTTGTCAGTTCATGGTTCTTCCACATAATGAAAAACACTACCATGTCACAAAGCCCAAGTTTGTGAGTCTACATTCTAGATAGCAGCAAAATGAAAAGACATTATACCATCAGCAACCAGTATTTATAGAGCTCTGTTATGGATTCAAAAGCATAAGAAGCCTCTCAGTACCAGCAATGGTCTCCATTATAAGATCCTACTTGCAGAATTGAAAGACTCTGAGTTACTTCATATATATATATATATATATATATATATATGTGTGTGTGTGTGTGTAGAGAAAGAATGATAGAGTGATATAGTTTTAAAAATCTAAAAGAATATATAGTTTGCAAAACCAAAATTTTCAAGTGCAATTTCTTTGTAAGCCATTTGGGGACAGGCATTACTACACAGTTTAAATTATATGATAACGTAACTTTTCTGGAAAAACTGATGTTCCCAGTAGAATGTCTCTAAACATGAACTGAAGATAACGGTTGTGATCCAGTTAGTTCAGAAGCTAGAAATATTTTAATAGAGCAGGGCACTCTTAAGAAGACAGAATCATGGTTTGCACAGTTTGTTACTTTATAAAATTGATTCAGTTTAATTTTCTATCACGTGTTTCAGATGTCAACTGATAGTCACAACCAATGTGTAAATTATAATCACTATTCTTATTATACCTATGCATACGTACACATTTACACATCTGTATATACACACATGTGTCTACAGCATAACAAATATTCCTGTTCCAAATTATAATGCAGAAATATCAGTAAAAGTGTAAGTCCATCCTTGCTTCCACAAGATGGGGAGCACATTCAACCTAGCTATACCAAGAGGCTGAGAAGTGAGGAGATGCTCACAGAGCCAGCAGTTTAAAACCCAGATCAGCAGTATTCTGTATTACTGCCAAGTTATGCTTTCTTTTAAGTGAGAACATAAAAAGAACACATGTAACCAAGGTTATTTTAGTACCAATTTCAAGCCTGTATTTAGACTCTGCAGATGCCACCTCATAATGCAACCACCTCATAAAACTAGAGGTAGCATTTTTCTGTCCTTTGTGTTCTTCTCAAAAAAAACGCAAACCAGAGCAAAGCAATTACAGCTGACATACACAACGGAAATTTCTATGCAACTGGGAATTAGGATATCATGGATCTGTTTGGCTATATCAGAGCTGCCAACTACTGATGCAATATAAACATTCAGAGCTACCAGTTCTGTTCAATACATTTATATGTGATAGGGATGCAGGAGTCGAATGCACCATTAGCAAGTTTGCTGGTGATATTCAAGTGGGGGAGGTGCTACTCACTCCCTTAAGGGATGAGAAACCCTACAGAACAATGGGGATCGATCAGAGAGCATAGGGCAGTCAGTGGCCTAAAATTTAGCAAATGCCAGATTCTGTACCTGGGACAGAGTAACGCTGGGCACAAGTATAAACTGGGAGAGGAGTGGCTGGAGATCAGCCCTGCAGAAATGGATCTGGGAGCACGGGTCAGCAGCAGCTCAGTGTGAGCCAGCAGGGAGAGCCCGGGCAGCCAGGAGGGCAAATCCCATCCTGGGATGCCTCAAACCCCATGTTCAACCATTCAGACAAAAGAGGTGATCATCCTGCTGCACTAACCTTTAGTACAGCCACACCTCGAGTACTGTGAGCAGTTCTGGGGTCCACAAATTAAGAAGGATGTGAAGGGCCCTGAATATGTCCAGAAGGCAATAACAAAGCTGGGGAAAAGGCTGGAAGGAATGTCCTATGAGGACTGCCTTAGGACTTTGGGCTTGTCTATGTTAGAGAAAAGGAGGCTGAGGGGTGGCCTCATTGCTCCCTACAGCAAGTACTGTTTTTAAGTTTCCTGTGTTCATTCAATTAATCTGGGTTCCCACAGAACGGCAGAATTCCACCTATCTCTTCAGAGATCAAACCCTTAGCTGACTGCAGGACATGCTTCCAAAATGAGTGACTTTTTGAAGTGTTCAATACCTATTATTTCCCAAGAGATTTTTTTTCTTCTTGTACTGATTTTTAGAAATGATTGAGCCATTTCCCTTGGCGAGAAATGTAGATAAAGAGAAATGTAATAAAACATTTTATTACATCTGAGAACAACAGTACCCCATCAGAGTCTACAGGCAGCACAGGAGCAGTACCCAGAAGCTGACTATGAGACTGGTATTTGCCTGAAATGCCAGGATTTTTCAGCTCCAAAAACATTTTCAAAGACACATATTTACAGGAGGAAAAAAGATTCAAATTAATTTTATTTTTTTGAATCAGTTTAAGAGCCAATGCTCACAGGCATTAACACAACGCAATTCTGTAGCCAGGCCCAGGCTAAAGCATTCCTCAG